CAGAATGTGTACCTTTTGGAAATGGTGAGTACTGACTCTGATCATGGCATTTTACACATCCTTCACTTCGCACAGTTGATATTGGGAGTAGCCTTAATGCATCTTAATGGAATAACTGGTTTAATCATTTTTATATAAAGGAAACCACTTCCTTTCGATGGAACATCGTTTAATAATATTCTATGTGCTTTTCTAAGTTTCATAGAAGGCAAATGAAACGCCATATGCCTGAAACATGCCATATCCCAAGTTGGTGTAAAAATGTGTGAAATGAAAGCATTATACTTGTAACCATGGTTTTCATCAATGAATGAACGGAGTGGCAAAAAAGGATTCATGCAGCTGGTGCCAGTTTATTAGGAACAATAAAATTGCTGCTTGTGTGGGAAAGGGAAATAAATGGAGTTTCTGGTGGCTAAAAATAAATACCTGCATGTTGTAGAATTTGATTCTTAATGGTAACGTGCTTCTGGCAAACCTCAAATGTGAATGGATTTTCCATTTCATCTAAAACTTTTGAGTATTTCTTGACCATGTGTATTACTTCATATAACAAAAATAGAGGATAAGCAAAAGCGAGAAGTGGAATCAGTAATTCATCTTTTGGTTGTGATGCATTTACAATTATAGAAGGTTTTATATTTATGGTTTTTGGGCACTTAGTGCTGAATGTCACCATTAAGTAATGTAGAATATTAAACCCCTATGGATGATAATGTTTGTTTGGGTACTTTATAAGAATTGGTGAAACACAGACCCAAGCCACACCGAGTCCAAGGAGTATCAAATATGGCCATAGTAAATTTTTCATATAATGAGTCATTGATTCCTTATCTTGTTTTATGTATGTTTTCTGTGTATGAGCATACATGCTGTTGTATGAATGCAAAATCACGTCTTCAATTCTAATGTTGTTGTTTTCTTTTGTTCTAGCTTCAGACCATTCCTCTACCTCCAAAAACAGCTCAGGTGGAATGCACTGGGCTCTAATTGTGCTTATTAGTGCCGTAGTTTCAACAGTCTTTATTGCTGGTTTGGTAACTGCATTCAAGTATTGGCAGAAAAGGAAGAGGCAACAAGAGCAGGCACGATTCCTGAGACTGTTTGAAGAAGGTGATGACATCGAGGATGAATTCGGCACTGGCCCTCTTGATGGTGTAGCTTGAAAAATGAAATTCTTCTGCCTTTCCAGTCCATTTGCAAAGTCATTATCTGTTAACGGAGATTATCTATAGGAGTAGATGCGACGATGTAGATAAATAATAACCATAAACAAAAAAGCCATGTAGCATGGTCTTTTTTCCTTTTTGGGGACATAGTTGAATGCCAAGGAAATTGAACAGCTGTACATACAATGCGATTAAATGTGAGATTGAATAGGCGAATTGTGGAACTAGACTATATTCTTTAGTTCTTTTCTAGTAGTCTAGAAGTTTTATATGTTTAAAACTATCACTTGAAGCAGATATGCATTATTCAACAGTGTTATGTACATGCCCGGAGAAAAAGGAATTCAAATACGCAGATATCAGATACAAACACCATAGAAGTCTGCTGGTTCAAAGTGGTTTTCCAGGTAAGTCTCTCAGTAACCAAAGATTCTTTCATATGGAATTATCTCATTTGAATCATTCCAGCTGTTATTATATGGAAGCTCTTGGTAATCATGGTCATGAAAATCTTCCATGCCACCCACTCTGAAACTAAAACCACCATATGAAGACCACTGATCATCACCATAGCCAAGTTGCATATCATTGGATGTATAATAACTATCCAAATTTTCTTCGCCTTGACAATGACTGTCTTCTTTACCTAAGCTGCTGCCATAAGCTTCATATCCTCTATCAGAACAGGCATCATCTTCTCCCCAGTAGCCACAAAAGTAGGATTCATAACCTCCAAGCATATTTCCATGACCACTGTAAGGCAATTCCATTCCATCATCAGCTTCCTCATGAAGTGAGGAATTGTAATCATCAAAGGGCCTCTCTTGAGAAGATGAAAAGGGCTGTCCATAAGGGCCATCACCACCATAGCTACTGTCATACCAAGTGAGATAATAGGAATCATAGTCGCCAAATTCAGGCTCAGGCTCAGGCTCAGGCTCAAGCTCACTGATTATAAGTCTGTTGAACTTCACAGTACAAAGAAATTCTCTTTCCTTTAGTTACCTCGACTCTCAACCTTACTCTGGGAGGATCTCTCTCTCCGTCCGTCTGTTTTATATAGAAGAAATTGTATTGGTATAGACCTATGGGTCAGCACAATGTAGCCTTAATACTATTAAGAATAGTAACTCGAGGCAAAGTCACAATATAGGGAAACCTTTCTTAATTTGGTGGTTCTCCAATCAGTTTAATTGCCTTGTGCACTGAATATCATAAAAAGTAGAAGATGCTACAAAAGAAGAAAAGATGGTCAAAAGCATCTTATGCCACCATGAATTGATATGCTAACTTGTAGATTCTCTGGATAATGGTGGAACAATTGGTTAACTATGTCACACTTTAGGGGCTCAAAGATATCTACCAAATCAAAAAAGTAGGGATGGGAACGTGGTGGGCCCATACCCGGCCGCTGGTGATTTTCAGGGGACACGGCCAGGTTCACTGTCCCTGCCCCATTTGGGCCTCACTGTTGTGATTACTAATCTTCAGTTTGCAGCTATCTACATCATTGTAGCAAAAAATATTGTTGTGACAAGATACACACGTCCTTATTTGCAGTCTCAATTGTAGTCAATCACTTGATAGCAGCCAATTTCATGTTGATCTTTAAGCAAATTAGTGAAGAATTCATTGTTCAGAGTCTCGATATGTGATAGTATAGTTGAAGTTATGGATCTGCAAGAGAATTACTAGCTGGAGAAATGGAGTAGTTCTCTTTTTGCTACTGGCGACCTAGGGGTGTTTATCACAGCTGTTCTCCAAACTATTCCAACTTATGAGAGTTTTGGTGGAGGGGCGAAGGATAGGGAAGGACCATGACATGCGTTAAGTGGAAACATGTGTACTTCGAAATATAGAGATGGATTGGATTTTAGGGACTTCGAAATGTTTAATCACGCATTTGTAACAAAACAGGCATGGAACATGACACAGCCAAATTCCCTCACTATGAAAATTCGGAAGGGTAAGTATTTTCACGATTCTGATTTTCTGCAGACTCAGGTGAAGGGTGGGGCTTCTTTTAAGTGGAAGAATGTGATGTCGGGGAGGCAGTTACTAGTTCAGGGACTTCGATGGATGGTTGGCAAAGGGTTTAGAAATCGACTCGATATTAACCCAATTTAATGTTTATGAACAAATGGAACCAGGAATCTTAGTCTGAGTACATAATTTCCTTGTTACTTTAATTAATTGAGGAAAAACCCCTCCCTAACTCATTCTTTCATTTTTCATTACACACTTTTTCCTATTTATATGTAATTTCAGAATATTCAGTTGATTTAACCCCTATTCCATAATCCATACTGTTGTGGACACTATTTGTATCACCCCGAGGACTCATTGCATCCCGAGGACTTCGAATGCTATTTCGTCTCGTTTGAGCCATGACCTCCTTGGGGAGGGGGTTCCTCGGGACATAGTGCTCGATCATTTGCACAACATGCTCGCTATATCTTAGTTGAAATATGCTCGGGATTACATCTTCGGGGTACTTAAGGTTGTCCTCGGATAGTACCTGGCCTCACGTCTAGGCCCCCGTTCAAATTCAAAGGTATCCTGGCCCTAAAAGGATTCTAGTCTCCCTTAAACTT